CGTGAGTCACTGGTTCCAAAGTTCAAACTGGTGTCTGTCACTGTCCAAATTCTTTCAGAAAAAAGGGAATATCTGAATATCTATTTATATTTTTGATATAAGTTTATAAGTATATAAATAAGTTGTTCGTGGGTCGTTCCACGCTGATGGAATGGCCTGTTGAGTGCTACCAGAACAGGTGGCGTTCCTGCTCCTGTCCTAGTACTTTCCTCTACTTCCCTGCACCATGTCCTTCTCTGACTACTTCTGCACTGGAACCCTTTTCTAACTTAGGTGTCACTACTTCTGCACTTGTCTCCACGTCTGCACTCTCCCCCTCTGGAACCCTTTTCTAACTTAGTGGTTTTCTTTCCTCTGTGCTGCTCCATTGTTAATCCTCCTCCTGTGTGTTGCTCTGGGTAAGACTGGGTAAGACTCCTCCTGTGTGTTGCTCTGGGTAAGACGTTGGCTAAATGCATAATTACAAATGTAAATAAATAACCTGAATCATCTGAACGCTCAGCTCCACCTTACCACCTGACAAATATGACGATGCTGCCATAATCAAACACATCATTTTACGCCTGCCTTTTAAGAAGCCTCACAAGGACTCGTCTGTTCAAAGAGCTTCTAAAGGCTGTAAAAAAATAAATAAAATAAAGCCATGGAAAGTTGTGCATTGGTGGGGCCCACTCAGTCTGCACACCCAGCCAGGTCGGGACACAAGGACATGTGTTTCCTAGTGGAGATTCCACAGAGAGAGAGAGAGAGCGAGAGAGAGCTGTTTATGAGCCAGAGTGGTGACTCTGGCTTATGTGCAGTCCTTATTAAGAGACTTGATATTTTAGACTTCAGCTGAGTTTCTGCAGAGGCACATGTCTTATTAAGCCAGGGCATCAGTCGTCATGCATTGTACTTTTTTTTATAAAGCACTTAGCAGAAACACAAACTACACAGACTTTTTTCCTCTTGATCCATCGGGCACGGTTGTTCTTTATTTTTTTTGTATAAAACGCTGACTTTTTCAACAGAACATATGAACATGTGGAAGTTTTTACGTGACCGTGTGCAGACACACACGTCTGCACCGTTTGGTCCTCACAAAAATGCCTGACATAACCTCCACAAACATTTGCCACAGTTAGGTATAGCTTCTGCTGCCAGTAAACCCAACATGCAGACAATGTTCTCAGGTTCCAGTGTTTGTGCTGACCTCATGTTCCCCGGGGTGTCGCTGCGAGGATATCGCCGCCTCACATCGATACAAGTCCCTCTATTTTAGGCGATTCCAGCAGCCAAGTATGAATGGCCTTGTGCTTTTGTTTAGCCTCGCCTAATTTAAACCACAGTCTGTCAGCGGAGCAGTGACAGCTCTCAATGTGGCAGGGATTTTGTCCCATCAACTGGTTTCTCAGCAGAAGAGACGGGACACTGTGGACGGCTGCTGATCGGAACACCACATGGTACGCGGTTAAAATAGCGGAGCGGGCTTTAAACACGAGTGCATATCTAACCGATAAATGAAATAGCTACAGCTGGATGCTAAATGTAGGACAAAATTTACGTTAGATTGTAGATTGTACATTGTTGGACAAAGCATGAACTGAACTGTAAATAATAAATGCTAGGTGTTTCTAATGCTATATGTCAGTGATTATCAACTGGCAGCTCACGGTCCAATCTAAGTTGCAACTGGATTCCAAAATTGTAAGGATCACAATATCAGGTGTTCCGTATACATAATAAACATATATAAACAATAAACATCAAATAATAATATTAGAAAAATGTGACCTTTATTTCATTTTATTTGAGTCCGGATGCCGGAAAAATAGTCAGTAAAATACAACTACGAAGGTTTGTCAGCGTTTATACTTTTTAATAAAGGTATTGATTTAACTTGACAAATGTAAGTGGGAGGCAAATTGAAGCTGAAAGCAAAGGAAACCCGACTGTGCACAACTGCAGCCTATCACATACGTATATTTAAAATTCAGCTTGGAAATGTAGGAAAGTTTCTGTGTGGTTCTGTCTGAGAGATGAAACCAGGACCTGGGCCTGTGTGTGTGTGTGTCTGTGTCTGTGTGTGTGCACGAGTGCGACAGATCTGGCTGGAAATGACAGCTCTTTGCTCCTATAAAGGCAAAGCTCTGGTTTGGGAGATGTCTGATTTTTATGGACTGGAAAGTGGGACAGTTTAAAACAAATATCGTCTCTTTCTCTTGGACAGGAGCGTAGATGGAAAATCCAACCGGAGCCAAATTGTTGTCTGTGTCTCGATGTAGCAAAGTGCAGCCACTGTGTGTCAACATCGCAAGCAAGTGTAGGGATGCAGGTGAATTAGTCCACTTCCCAGGAGGACTGCTGCGGCCCTTTGAAACGATCCTTTGTGAATGTGTGCAGTAGAGTTAGTTGGCTGAGGGGATTTTGTTTCAGGTGAAACTACAGAAATACACTTGGCAGACAGGTTGACCACTGGTCACTGGTCAGGTGACTCGCTGTAAGTGTTGAATATTCCTGGCAGTTTGGTCAATGCACAGGTGTGTGTAATAATGGTAATCAATAGATCAGCTCATTTTTATTCCACCTGTCTGTCTGTCTTGATGGCGTGATCAAACTCACAGGAAGATATTTGCAACATCATGCATGGGCGATGAGCAGGAGATCTGCAGCAATTGGTTATTTTTTAAACTTGAATAATCTATTGATTATGATTGTGAATCTATTGAGTGATGTCATCTATTGTTTTGTCCTCAGACTGTAATCCAGATTAATTACTTGCCAGAGAAAGGCCAAAAAATACAGAGATTGCAGAGATTTTTCTGAAAGCAGCAGCATAACACAGAAGACAACCTATGATTTCACAGTAACACCAGTGTGTCAGGTGTTTGGTTGGGTGCATCCATACAAGCACTGTAGGTAATGGCAACACAATATAAAAAGGATATTCATTCTCCCCTGCTGGTACAGTGTTTGCTGCTGCAGTGTAATCCTTTTATCGTCATTTCTCAGTTGATAGTTATCGGGCCCCACAAACTCCATGATTCAAATCTGCTGTGCGAGCCTCAAACTGCACCTGTCGTCCAGCGTCACGCTCCTTTATTTTTATATCCATATTAACGCTTCTGTAAACAATTCAACTTGATGATGGAGGTGAGGGTGAAGGGGAGTGCGGAGGATTTAGAGCTTGTCAACAGTTGTCAGAGGGAGCGCTCTAACTCTCGGGGTCTGTTTTCTTTTGGGCCGTCTGTCTCTTCTCCCGCTGCACTGTTAATTAATACCCAGGCATCTCCGTCTGACATCCAGTGGCCCGCTTGGGTTTCACTGGCGGTGAACAACAAGTTGTTTGGCTTCACGGTGAAGTGGTTTCTGTCTCCCTGCTGCTGCGCTGTGCCTGTGACCACACTGTGGTATTTGGAGAGAACTGTAGATGTGGTCAGAACTCCAACATTAACAAAACACAGCATTGCACTGGCTTAACTCAATTGTACATTTCAATCACACCGAGTCCTCTTGCACACTATTTCGTCATCCGTTTCTGAGTCGTAGGACGTGACAGCTACTTCTCAAACTTTTGTTTTTCTTTCAGCTTGGATAGGTAAATGGCCATGTTAATATGTTGTCATCAAGGACAAAGATGAATTTGAACAGAAATTCAAACACTTGTTTTTTGTGTACTCCATTATACTAGTATGGACACTTCTTTGTTTCTTTTCTAATAATATGGAATGAACTGGAAAAGTAAATCAAATGATAATAAAAAAAATAGGGATAATTAAATTCAGCCAGCTGAACAGAAAGTGAGCAGAGCTTTAACACCAATGTTAAATACTTGTAATTAAAACTGCATTTCTGCTTTATCTTATTTACGGTACTAATATCGACTGGGTCACAGCGCCACCTGCTTAAAGAAGGGAGGGAATTAATTTACTATGATGCAGTTTCTTTTTTTCCAAAGAATAATCCTGTGTACTCATAAGTGCAGATGTGAGGGTTCGATGCTGCCGTCCCTCAGATTAATCCCAGTTGATATAGTGTTTCGTGTGATGCGTCAAATGTCAAAGATCTTGTTTCATTCAGTTTTGACACGAGTGAAGACCTCATGCTTTGCGACTTTGTTAAGCAGCAGTGATTTTCAGTGACAGCGATGTGGGGAATTCAGCGACTAAGTCCCCTGACTAACCAGACCCTAAACAGAGATCTATTCTCGGCTCGAGACGATTTAACACATCTGGTTGGTTTTATAGCGAGAAGGTGATATCCCGTCTTTTTTATTGGCGCAGTGCTCTGTCTTGACGTACGGGTTCAGGGGCCAAGCACCAGGACCCCCGGTGGAAGCGGCAAGCTGCTTCTGTCAGCAGGGAGTCACGGTGAGGCGGATTGTGGTGATGGTCAGATGAATGAACCACATGTAATCGATTTGGCAGTGCCGAGAAGATTTGGAAAGAAAAAAAAAACAGTTGGATGAAGCTGCTTGTTATGTAAGAGGTGAAACATCTTCGGACAGGCTGTTCCTGTAATAAGACAAATTTAGGCGTGCTCCCTGAAGCAGGATGTCTGTCTGGCTCGTACCTCATGATGTGTTGTAGCTATAAAGTCGTCTGTGTGTTATGTCTATTAGATAATTCTTCTGTTTTTCTGTTCTTCTTTGGTTTTTTCTTCTGCGGCCTAATTGTCTGCAGTTACGACCATAATCCCACAGATCTCCGACAAAGTCTCGAGGGGTCATCATAGGTCAAATGCACAGGTCAGATCTGGTGGAGGTTATGAAACACAGTGATCTGTTCAACCTTCAAGGCCGTTTGCCTTTTTTAGTGCTGGGCGAGTTGTAGTCACTGTGAAATCACGCCCTGGCAGTTTATGAAAGACAATCTGAGTCATTATTGTCAACACGGCGGTTTAAAGTTAGACAGAGGACAAATGCTTTCTTAATGAAGTGGTGTTGGGGTGTTTCTAAAGCTGATTCACACGGTGTCTTAAATAAAGACGGTAAACCATGAAGTCATGTCTTGACCCAATGGCCCTCTTTGTGTCTCTGGTGTCGTTTCCAGACCCTCTCACTTTAACCCAAGCTCCAAGACGTGGTTCCAAAGTCGTGGTTCAGCTTTGCTCTCCCGAGACACACCAACATTGCACAAGTGTGTCTGAGTGAAGTCTTATTTTAGCTCAAACGTGACCTGGTTATACTTGAGTTGGCCTTAAATGGTAACTTAAATAAACCCCAAGCTGGTCCAACACACAGAGTCCTGTAGTCCAACTCAGCTGATAAGGCTTTATTATAATATTCTCACATCATTCATGTTCATAATATCATCTCAGGTTGTCAAGGCATTTCCATTTATATGGACTGTTAATCAGGAGAGGTGTAAACTGTCAGTCAGTCTCCTGAAACCACCGGGCTGAAGAAAAACAGACTTGGAAAAAATAATCTTTTTTTGTAAACAATTATTTCACGGACAATCTTTGTTTAGTGGGCGTGTCCTCGTAAACTTTAGATGACTTGATAATCTGAGGGTACAGCCTTACAGGGGGAGTCAGTATTTATAAACATCCAAAAATAATCGGGAACATGTACTGGACCGTTCTAGAACAATCCTTGGGCCTTAACCCATACGCTGAGAAAATATCATTGATTTATTTTTTGTAGTTCTGCTCACAAACTGACGAGGTTGACTCTGACATAACAGCGAAGGCTTCTGCTCACAAACTGACGAGGTTGACTGTGATTCATAACAGTGATGAGAACACCACTTCAAGCCCACATTATAAATCAACAAATATGTTCAATACAAACACACAAGTGTAAAGAATTCATGACATCATAACAAGACTTACATCTGTTGAAAAGGACTAAAGGTGGACGTAATTGCAGAAGTTGTTTTTATAATCTTGTCATGAAAATCAAGTGTCTGGTTGAGAGGCTTCCCTTTTATTAATCACATGGAGGGACATTAACCAATCACAGGAGGGCTTAGGGTTAGTGGACTTTTTTCAGTACATTCAACGACTTCAGTCACTGGTAATTTAATGAGATGTGCTGTGAATGGAAGGTCATTTTGGTTGGTAGATTTAAATGTATCATTATATCTACGACCAACATTTGTTGTATATTTTCCATTGTCGACCGACTCTGTGATCTTTCCCTCGGCTCATATTGAGCCTGGCGCTGCCTAATTCCTACCCGTGCTGTTTGTGTACCTTTGAAAACACCAGTGCAACACTCGAGGGGATTTTCCTCTGCAGATTATAGTCAGTCACCTGCACTGTAAACGTCTCTTTCCTGGCAAACCCACCAGAGTTGCACTAATCACTAGCAGAGAGAAAAGCCGGTGAGGTCCCGGTGTTCTTGCGTGAGAGCAGCATGTTTGTTACCTCAACATTTGCAGGTCAGTCACGGCCATCTACTGCTATCTGAGTTGCACTGATAAAAACGTGCTCTTTATCTCGAGGAGGACTTCCATGGTTTCAATTTGTTCATTAATACATTTGGAATGTTTCTGCCTTGGGGTCTGCCACCCACACACAGAAGGTCAGGGTTGCATTGGTCCAGCTAGGTGAAACCGTGCACACAGAAGGTCAGGGTTGCATTGGTCGAGTTAGTTTGTCGTATCAGTGAGTCACGTTGAAGCACAACTAGTACTAGTCACATACAGGTCCTCATCTCCCATGGAGGCAACTACTTTGTAAAATCTATCCTTTGTTTGACAGATTTTGGATTGTGTTTGTACTTAGAAGAGTTGTGTTTTTATGTTTTATATAGAATTACATGATGAATGTTACAGAGATGAAGCACTAGACTGTAGGTGGACAGATTGATAAGTCTGTGCTCTCAGGTGATTCATGTGTGGTCTACAGAGATGAAGCACTAGACTGTAGGTAGACATATTGATTACAGATCTGTGCTCTCAGTTATGAGTGGTTGTTCTAATGAAGTTTCACCTACTGTCTTAGCATGACCGCCTTGATGCAACCTGTCTTAGGGTTTTTTGGGTTAGGAGGTGAGGGTTGGGTGAATTAGAACTGGGGCCTACAGCGAGGCAGGCAAGATTCCTTCCATGGGAGCCCCCATAAATTGATTGCTCAAGAAAGTATAAATAAGGAGTGACCCCACAGTCCTCAACTTTTACCAAAGCAGTGTTTCTCTTTTTTCAGAGTCAACCTGATAAATTCGGTCACATCACAGTCCACAGTCCACATCGGCGTTAACGTCCATTTTTATGGTGGTTAATTAGTCGCACAGAGCTGCAACGTGTCTGTGTGACCAGCCAAAGAAGAAACCAGACACCATGCAGCCTCCCAGTATAACCCAGACTGGCAGATCCAGCACCGACACACTCACACGTACACAGAATAACTGGGCTGACCTTGAACAACCGGGCGGTCGACTATAAAACAACGTCACCGCTGGATGGAGGCGCACCAGCGATGTCCTCACATCTGTGTCGTTGGATGTTCTTTCTCTGTTGTGGAGATGGTTTAATGCTGTATTTGGTCCCGTGCTGGCCAGAGTAGTGATGATGAAACCCTCTCTACTGTCACAGTGTTTGCCTTTCTTTAACGTTGACATTCGGTGATCTCATTCTTACTCCGCGCCTGTTCGCGGACCGACTCCTTTGTGGCCGTCTGCACTCACCGCCTTGTCTAGAGATTCAAACAAAGACGCTCAGCAGAGAGCCAGCCATAATGCTCACTGGTATATTTAAAAGATGTTTTGTCGTATAACGCACCTCTAATTTCAGTGAAGCTCAGATTGAAACGTGGCTTCTTCACGATGACTGTCTTGGGATTAAGTTACATAGGATTTGATAGACTGCTGCCCGGCAACATGTGGTAAACAAATAAGCCCGCTGCAACTGTCATTACATTTTGTTTGCGATGTGGACAAACGCTGATTGGTGCATGAAGGCATTGCTAATGACATCACCTTTTTCCAAGATGTCTTTGCAGATTCTCTTTCATCCAGGTCGGAGTTCTCGACACACTTTTTCCTACCTTTACTTCACTCTGGGTTTTGTGTGCAGAAAGCTGCAAATCTTCCTGTGGGTGGCTCCACAAATGTCTGCAGTAGGCAATAAGGCTGGATTGTCCTTGTGTCACAATCAGTGACATCCTCAGGCTCTAAGTAAAGAGCAGCGGAGAACTGGAAGGTGACTGTGTTAGAAAAGGTTAGAATGGAGTGGAGGACGGGGTTTTTCCCCCAGAGATCAACACAACGGAACACAAGGCCAATGTCATAGTTTCCATACGTGCACAGACGTCTGCCTGATGTAAATGTTGTCATCAGGCCCCGTCTGAACACTGCAGGCCGTGCAACAGAGAAGAACACTGTGTCTGTTGTACCTGTCCCTGGATAACAGTCTCTTAAAGAATACAGCGGTGTGAAAATCAGAGACAGTTTGAATGGACATTCATTATTTCATACGCAGTTTGAATGGACGTTCATTATTTCATTGAGTTAAATCACACAATATAAAATTAACTTCAAAATATATAGGGATGTCAAAATTATTAATTGCATTGTTTGGAATGAATGAGAATGTATACGCAGTATTTTCACCCTCCTTTCATTATAAATCACAATAAATTACAAACATGATCAATCAATTAATCCACAACTACCCTGTGATTAATCAGATTTAAAAAATGGGGAATAAGAAAAATATATAAATCAATATATCAATAAATATATAGTTACTTACATATATAATTAGCTTAACCTGTTCTATATAGTTACTTACATATATAATTAGCTTCACCTGTTCTATAGCTTTTTTGGCTTCATAAAAAAATTGTCCACTTGGAGTTGCCAGTCACTGTTGTTAGGTAAACAGTAAGGTGTCAACTTATTGTAAGTTTACAGATGTAGTGCTGTGTGTAGATGTTTTTTTCCGGTGTGTAGTATCATTCTGAACATGGGGCAGCAGTACTTCATCTCTGTAAGCGACTCTAATTTTATCCTTGTTCCCTCAGTTTGAACACAGCTGCCTTTTACTGCGGCAGCTTCTTGTAAAAGCGACAATAGAATCGTTTTCTATATCTTGAAGCTCTAATATTAGCGCAGATATACTAGAAGTCACAGCCAGTCAAGCTTAGGTACTCCATTTTTAGGAGTTGATTTTTGTTATTACTGCTGGGGCGATGTTCCTGTAACGCTTATTGAAAACCATTTGGAAAAAATGTATGTAAAAGTTAAAATAAAAGCCTGAAAGACTGTTGTTTAGTGTTAGTTGTATTAGGCTGCACGTAGGATCTGGGGAAGTTTAGTATGTCGTGCTGTGACTTGCTTTAATTTGTCGACACATTCTGATTCGGGCTGATAGCTAATTAGTGTTTACTATCCAGCAGGATGTGGGAGGAGAAATAAAGTAGTAAACTGCACGCCAGTGAGTCAACCAGTGACTTCATCGTGGTCAATATTTACTTTAACAATAGGTTTGCTCAAGTTCCTAATTTTTTTCTCTATGTAGTTACTGTCTACGCTAAAGATTCAAGCTAAAAAAAAAAGCGGCGGACCAGTGAAATCATAACATAATTACCTATAAATAACAAAAAAAGAAAATCTGTCTTTTTCCCCTTTGCTTTCATGCACAATAGTACATTAGATAAATCTTCATACTTAATGAAATATAACTGTACAAAACATGAAGTGTTTGTGTATTTCTTTATTTTTTTAAATTCTTTAAGTAAGAGCCAGATTAAAACCCCAGGCGCGCAGGTTTTGGCCCACGGGCTGCATATTTAACACCCCTGCTCAAAGTGCTATACTGTTTGACATGAAGCATAAAGTATTGTTTTCTAAATTCTCCATGGTTTCTAAAGTTTATATATATATATAAAAAACTAAGCTCACATCACAATGATGAGACCTGGTGTGAGGTCACAAAAATAAATACTACGACAGTCACAACAGAAAAGTGGTGAACCTGGCCAAAAATATCTGAACATACTGGATACAAAGTTCCCAGTCCAACCAGTAGTTAGATTACATTTCTGACCAGTTAAAATAACAACAAATGGAAAGTTGTAAAATTGTGAGGACCAGTAATGGTGGCTGGCACAGTGTGACGATCCCGAGCCTCTCCGTGTAATAGAGTGGGAACTCTGAGCAGAGAAGGCCAATGAAATCACTTTATTAGGGCCCACATGAAGTGAGCAAACATTTAGCAGCACATTACGCCCCGGGGGAGGTCCTTACTCCTTTTAAACACTGCGCTTAAGTCTTGAACTTTGTTGCATAACAGCATCTGCACATTATTAAGGCTTTTAGAGAGTCTGTTAGTCCTGGAAAACTCACAGCGTCTGAAATGACTCTTAAATACTCTTGAACGCTGTTATTTTGCATGTACTTAGTGAGTGTGTCATCGCGGGAGGAACTATGAACTTGTAAAATGTCACGTCATTTCTCCATAGGGTTCATCCTGTTCATCCTGCGCAGGGTTTAAATGCTTGAGCGACACTGACGTTGTTTTTAGTGTTTACTTTGGGTTTTAAATAACCTCCTCCAGTCAGGTTGTGAGGGACAGGCCGTCTTTCCACTCCACACGTGGTAAATCAAGGCCAGGTCAGAGTTATCCAGATCCACTCAACATATTGAATTTACTCCTCAGGAGACACTTATCCAGAAGCTGTGCAGAACTGAGCTTCAAAATCAGAGGTGAAGGTCGAGACTCCTCTGCTGACCCCTGAGTTTTAAATCCTCAGGACTCAGAACCGACTGAAGTCAGGCTCAAAGTCATCAGGTCATAACCCTGAACTTGCAGTTTGGCCAACGTCCTGTTTCTGAAGCTGTTTAGTAGCGGTTGCAATTTATGGTCAACGGTTTTTAATTTGGTTTGGTTTGTTGAACTTGTGATGGAAAGAGGGAAAAAAATGGGGTTACAGTTTTCTGTGTAATTTGTAGTTTGTGGAAACTCTTAGATTTTAGGGTATGATGATACATAACGCCTTAAAAACAAAAATGTCCCAGTACAGTCCAAACCTCCCCGTTTCACTCATGTGGATTCTGAGGGAACGGTTACGGCAAAACACACACTGAAGCCTGGGTAGAGTTCATGGTACTGGTGACCAGTGCTTCATTGTCAACCCATCAAGAAGGCATCCATAGGAGAGTGTACTTTAATTACAATTTGTGTGCTCACACCACAACATTGTGTATGGAGCGTTTATTAAAACTACACAAACGTATCCACGACCCAAAATGAACCAATGTGCTCTCCTAGGTTTATAAAAACGTCTGTAAAAATCTAGACGCCGTCTCCTGACCAGTTCCTACCTTAGTAGGTTGAACCTTAAATCATCAACCTTAGGTCAAACATGTAACAGCTCCAGATGGCCCTTATGTGACCTACAGCTTCCTGTGTAGGGTCGGGGAGGTCGAGCTGGGGACAGATAATAAGTAATTTCCTTGTGGAGCAAAAAAAAAAAAAAGTTCAGAGATTTGTGGTTTACACCCTCCACAGGCGGGAATATTTAGATAATGGGAGAAATTATAAACAATCATTTGAATAATAAATCTCCAGACCCCACACTTTCTTCACGTCATTAGGAGTTTTTTTACTCTGACCCCGTGACTGAAAAGCTTCGTCGACATATAACCGTCGTTTATGTTCCCCTGTGTGTTCCAGGTGGCTCGATGTGGGTGTAGCCAACCTGATGTCGAAAAGATACTGGGTGGTGTATCTGCAAGTCATCCAGGAGGCTGTGTGGCCTGGAGGGACTCTTCCTACATCCCCTCACCCTGAGCGCAGCCAAGAGGAGAAGGAGCGCACCAAGGAACAAGCCCTACACTGTCTGATGGGCCTTCTACCAGGTACACACACACACACACACACACACACACACACAACCATTGTTATGTGAACACTTCATATGGACCAGGCAGTCCCCAGGCTGTTATCAATTTGTATATAATCCTAATCCTTACCCAAACTGTAATCTGACCCTAAATATTAATCCAAAATCCAAACTAAATCTTTATCCTCAAAATATCCTCTCACTCGATTTCGCCATGATGACAGTGTCCCTACAGCAATGGTATTTAAAAAAAAAACAAAAAAAACAATTGTTTTATTTTTACACTATAAATTTTATAATTTGACATTTGCACATTTTAGTTTACGCTGACATTATTTAAAGGACTAGTTCAGATCATTTGCGTTACAACTTGGAAAACAAATCTTTAACGTCAGACTACGTCACTGAAGTCACTGGATGTTTACTTTTATCTTTGTAAAGTTAAACACAAGTAAAGTTGACACAAGAAAGTGTTTGTTTTGACGTGATGTTATGTGTGAATCTCCACACAGATCTGGTGTCAGACATGTTGGGCTCGGACAAATACAAGCTCAGCTGGGAGACTGCGCTGGAGTCGCTTCAGAATCCACTCATTAACAGGTGAGTGCTGTTTCCATTTGAGGTTGTATCAGTACAACGGAGGAAATGAGTTCTCAAAGAGTTCACCTTCATCATTTATAATGAAGAGGATGATCCACCTGAACCTGCAGGCTTCATCCACACAGTCGTGGTGTGTGCTGACGGAGGTGCTGGGTGGGGTTTAAAGCACATGTGTCTCATCAACTGGTCAGGTAGTGTGTGTGTGTGTGTGTGTGTGTGTGTGTGAGAGAGACGTGGTCTGACCGGTTCCTCTGTTGATAAAGTGTTGTTTAGTCTTAGACTGTTGTCTAAACAACGGTGGAAGAGGTGGTGAATTGTTGGCAGATGTTTTCCCTCCGATGTGGAGTTTCTAACCACAAGCGTTTACCACATTCGCTTTTTATCAGAGGTCGTTATGGAGGTTACGGAATTCATCCAGACCGAGCATTCTTCAGGAGAGGTCATCAGTTTGAAAACTGGTCCACATGGTCAAAGGAAAAATGTAAAATTAATAAAAATAAAGTATAATTTATATATATATAATGTTATACAATATTAAAAAAGGGCAAAAAAAAGAATCTGAACTGGATTTGGCAGGTAAAGGCAAAACTGCTGAGATAATTGAACGGACATTAGCGTTGATAATGTAAATCTGCTTTGAATATATTTCCTGTCCATCCCATAATGTTGCTGCTCTGAAGGTCGGTCCTGGAGAAAAGGTGAAACGATCTGTTCCTCACAGAGGTGGTGAAGAATCTGAAGTTCTCTCTGAACCTCATCAGGTTTGTTTAGACTTCCCCAGGACAGGAAATACAGAAATAGCAAAGGCTTTGATGTGGAGCAGGTGCTAACAGGTGACGTGTACTGTTTGAACAAAGTCATTTAAACCAGGTGACTTAAGGACATCTTCTGCCCCTGGTCTTAGACACCTGGTGTACTCGTTGTTGGATCTTCTGCTGGAGTTCCTGGTCCCTGAACTTCTTGAGGAAGACTTTCAGAGGAGGCTGCTGCAGACCCTTCCTAAGAATACAGAGAGGTTGGTGGCCTGAGGAGACCGCACTGGAAGATCAAACCTCAGCATTGACTCTTCGTCCACTGTACTAACCACGTTCTGTGATCCGCGTCTTCACGCTGTTTTCACCCTTCTGGAGACTGAAACGTTTTCTGCTCCAGAGGTGAGTCAGCATCGTTTGTAATCAGGTCTGTTGAACATGGCGTCCCTTATAAATATACAGGTTTAATTCCACGCACGTGCAGCGTTAATCACACCTGGTTCTGCGTTTGATCTCGCAGGAGAGACACGCACTGTTTGGACGCATCATCTGCCGTCTCCCCCTCCTGTCTCCCCCGTCCTGTCACACTTCAGATGGTTTTCACATTCGCTCTCTTCTCCCCCAGCGTACGTGTTAAATACCGCACACATCTTGCTTCAATACGGAGAACTGCGAGATTTAACGTCACATCATGATCCCGCGGCACAGGCGTAGAAAAGTACACATGTCGAGTCGGCTATAAGATATTTTACTGCCTTTCCAGGTGGGTTCCCGCTAATATGTTCCACGGTGAATTTAATGTCTGAATAATGGGAGAACTCGGCTTCACATAAACCTGCATGTGAAGGTGTCGGCTGTTGGCAGTAACTTTTTTTGTAGGCGGCAGTAAAACAGAGGACTTGGCAGCTCGTTCACCCACGAGTGTTGGAGAATTACATAACAGCAGTTTCTCGCATTTTTGTTCACGGTAAAACATTTAAGGTCCGTCCAGTGTTTGTTATTTCTATCCTAAACCTCAGTTAATCCTTCATCTGATGGAGGGGTGTTCAACATACAGGCGGCGGGCGAGGCAGCCAAGGTGCAATCGGACGAGCGTAGCTCTTTGCAGAAGAATTGCAATGATATTTGAACAGGTTTAAATAATAACATTGCAGCAAAATAAAGAAAAAAAAATACCAGCGCCTTTAGACAGTGTTCAGGCAAATAAAACCTAAAGTCATTTTTTGGGTTTTATTTCTGTCGTCTTCACCATCGTGGCGCAAGTATAGGGGTAAAGATAAGTTAGGTCATAAATCGTTCTGGAATAAAGGTCACAATCATGGTCTTGTAAAATAATTATTTGTAAGCGTCTTAAAATCACTGAGTTTGATTATAAATTCAAGAAGACATTTGTTTCAGTAACACAATAATATTTTCACAGACACATTTACCCATCCTCAAAATCAAGCTAAGTTTAACACAATAATATTTTCACAGACACATTCATCCTCAAAATCAAGTTCAAATGGTCGCAGGCCGAGCTCCGTTCGAGCAGGTCCGTCCTCCATCAGAAGTGACTCAGTGTTTGGTTTCTGCTCCTTCCTGGTGGAGACAGTCTGGAAATGTGTGTTGTTTGGTCTGTGAAGGTTTTTTGTGTTTGTCCTGAGGCCAACTTTCGTTTTGCATTAACTTGTTTTGCCAAACAATGAAGAATATTCTTTTTTTTTTTTTTTTTCACTTGTCATTCCAAAGAGCTCTTTCGGAGTAATTACAGAGTCAGGGAACTTTGTGATCAGTCAGTCCTCGTGTGACCTGCTGAGCTGAGGCTCGAGGCATCCAGTGTAAATGTTTTCACACAGTTATTTATTGTATGAAGTTTGGTGGATCCTAGTTTTGTCTCTCCTAATTGTAGACACGACTCTTCATCCTCAGGCATTGAAACGTTCAGTTACGTCCTTTGGTCATTTTTTCCGTGAATAAATCTTCTGAATAAAATACACACATTGTTATTTTGGGAAAAAGTGCATATTTGCCAAGGGGTATAATTGAATTTAGCATAACATTCCAATATGGTCCAGAAACATTTTATAGTGGCTTAGGATGTTGTACTTACATTCATTCCCAGCGAGGAAAACCTTAGAAAACTAATCTAAAACACATCATTTTGACTTCGGGACAAATCATCTGCAAAGCTTTTGATATCTGGGTCTGTGTTTGGAACCAGCCCGTCACCACAGTTAATAGAATTAAGTGGCTTTTCCAGTCCAACTGTAGCCACTTTGAAAGTGTTTCCCAACCCTTTTTTCTTTAAGCCACGGCACAAATTTTGCATTAGAAAAATCCAACCGCACGACACCAGACAAAAATTAGCCAGAAAATGTATTTAATGAAATAAACTGAATGATCTTCTTGTTTAAATTTAAATTTACTCACGATTTAGGTCGCGTAAATTTAAATTTACTCACGATTTAGGTTGTCATTATTAAACCCTTGCGTGTTTAGTTGAACACAATGCTGATTATATTCGCAGGAATTGAAGAAAAAAAAATCTTCATCAGCAGCTCTGACTCCCTTTCTTTTTTAATTTTATATCCGTCTGCTAACACCTAGTGGACAATTATTTAACTGTTCTGCCTGTTACTCTCACAATGGGAAATAAAACAATTCCATAAATTACACTTTTCAGACCAACTAAGTGAAATTGGATCATTTTCAACGCCACACCAGATCATCTCTCACGACCCACTAGTGAGCCCACGGCACAGTGGTTGGGAATCACTGCACAGATTAGTTGCCTTACACTGTTGCCTTAAATAAAATGAGCAGCACAGGAGTTACTTCTCAGTTGCTGTTGGACAAAGTTACAAAGTTACTGACGACAAAAATTCAATTTCACATTCTTCTGACAATGTATTTAAGCTGCTGTCAGTGATCTTTTTTAGGTCAGTTAACGGTTTGGTTTTTGCTGTAGGTTTCCTTCGTCTTCGTCTTCGTCTTGTCCATCCATGTGAACGTGACACGATGACGATGTCGAGAGATTAGCTGATTATGCTGTGATACATTTTGGAGGTTCAGGGGTTAAACATAAACCAGGCCTCACTCGGCCAGGGACCGGTCACAATGCATTCTGAACACCAGGGGGCGCATGGACCACCGGTTGAAAACCTCACAGATGAAATTAGGAGTTTGTAGTTACTTCTGATGGATATTGACTGAAACTCTTCACTGACGGCAGCTTGAATCGTTCAGAATGTTAACGTTAAAGTTGTACTCTTCACTGACGGCAGCTTGAATCGTGTAGAATGTTAAGTTTATTTTCTGTTACGTGAAGGAAAATGATTTCGTCGTCACTGTCGTTCCGGTGTTTTGCACTTCAACTGTTGTCGTTGTTATAGCAGACTAATCCTTGTTGTATGTTTTATTTTTCAACGTGATGTCTATTTATGAACCTATTTATTTGTTTTAATTCTTAGTTACGCCTTACTGTGAATGACAATTGTTCCAGACCAGTGTGTAGGTCGGACACTCAAACTGGTCCAGTTTATTCTTATTGTTTATGTTGTGACCGACTGTACTTGAATGTGTTGACGTATATGAAGAAATACAGAAATCATAGAAATGTTCAGTAATAGTTTTTTCCCAGTGAATATTTTCACTTCTCTCTGGAAGAGTTTGAAGGATTATTTTTATTCAGTTAAAACGTGTTGACATTTCATAACGATATTTTTTTGAGAATTACTTTCAACAGAGAAATGTTAAATATATTTAATTTGTGGACCAAAAATATAAAAATATGAAGCATATTACTCTTGAAATGTCTAAATAACATTGTGACCAAGATTTTGTTTATTATTTTATTTTTCGTGACCATTATTTAATTTGAATGAAGAAAAATAAGTTCAATATTTCAGCATGAAGACATTGTCAATCAAATAATAATAATAATAACAATCAAAATAGTTGTTCCAGCTTTACGTTTATTTTTGAGTCACCAGAATATTTAATAAAATAATTGTTGTTTCAAAGGTGAAGTAGACTCTACAGTTTGGTTGATTTATGATGTTCTGTTTCTGTTTCTGTTTCTGTTTGCTCCTCTTGTCCGACGTCGTGATTGTGTCGTGCACTGAATCTCATTGTATTTTCTCTCACTCTGCGGCTGAACATAATAACAAACCCAATAAAGTTTCCAAACATGATTGACTCACTCTTCGCCCGCTCTTCTTTTCTTGGCCCTCAGGCTGTTTTGTATATTTTTACAACATGTTGTTCTGTTAATGGAATCATTTTTTACGACATGTACCTTTAAATGTGTTTAACGGTTTCAAGGCTACGTCTCCGCAGACTCCCGTCTTTGTTTTCTTTTGTAAACTTCACCTTTGTTGTGCTCGGTCAGCTCCGCCGCTAATGCGCTGTAGCCCGTGGACACATGATTCACGTCCAACGACAACAAAACGTTTGCGCTTCAAACGTCTTCAAAAGCTCCTAATAAAGTTCAGAAGTGGTTCTTGGAAACACTTCATGTTCAGCTCCATGTCTCTAATAACAAAGGAGGGAAGAGATGAGGTGATTGTACGCAGAGGTGGGGCATTAAAAGGTCAGCGTTGTGTTACTTACACATGCTCATAAAGCAGATTTAAAGGTTAGAGCGTCAGCACAAAACCAGGGATGAGTTTGGTTCTCGTCTTGGCACGCGTTAAGACGGACAGAAAGATTTCATGTTGGGCCAAATGAGCTGAACAGTTTCCACGAAACCCACGAAAAGTAATTTGCTTAAATTGAAGTAAATTACATTCGTAAAACTGTGAGAAAAAAATAAGAATAATGAAAAGCTGTGGTTCCTTCTCTGTGGTAACTGTTGTTTGGCTTCAATGTTGATGAAATGATAAAGGTGTCTGTTTGTCAGACACGTCTCTGAAGGCTTTGAGTTTTATTGTCATTGTTGTTGTCAAGGGTTGAGCTGTGACATTTTTATATCCCTAAAAAATGAACAAATCAAATCAATTGTACAAACGCCTGTCAAAATTATTGAAACCTGATTTTTTTTTTACCTAAAACTGAAAGAACATTGGACCTGAAGTTGTTTTCAGTCCTGAGCAGGTCGTGACCCGGTGCCAAACACATCCCTCAGAATTCGACAAGAAGGAATTTTCTGATGGAAACACCAGTTGCACAGGAGTTCAGAATAAACAGTTTGATATCTGGAGCAAAAGCTTTGATATTTTATTGAATAAGGTTTTTTATTATTTTGTATTTATTTTAGAACTGATTTGAATTCCTGATTTCTAGTTTCGTCTCATTGTCCCGTGGACCGTGCTTCTCCACGTTGGCCCGACTCAGTCAGCATCAGTCAGACCTGGAGGAGTTTCTCCAGGAGAGGTTGAGTGTTTCTGTGTTTCTGGTCCTCTGGTTACTGTCTTTTTCACCACATCTCTTCAACTGAAGACTGGACTCAGTCATGGCTGTAATTCTAAGATCTTTAAACTCAACTCCTACTAAGACAGAACTCTGAAAAAAACTGCCTTTTTTAAAAAAGTAAAACAAAAAAGATGCAGCACTCGCAGGTGTTGAAATAAATTATAAAATAAAAAAGGAAAAAAGAAACGTACAAATCATCCATCCTGCAGCCTACGTGATCTTGCTCTCGTGGCTTGGATGGAACTCCAGAACGTTCAGTTTAAATGAATATATACCAGAGAAGGCGACACGTCATCATGTCCAGGAGCCAGAGAATGATTACGGCTGGAAGAGTCGCTGGAGATACATTTTTGCTGGATTAACTAACTGCTGTCAGATTCTTGAACTTTTCCTTTGGACAATTTTTCTTTTGTAGATTCTTTGAATATTTTCAAGAATTAACATTTGAAATTGTGTTTATCATTTAACAGATATGCCACAATTATCCCTGCTAATGTATGAATGGAGCATGAAGTCCTCATACCTCATACTGTACCTGCCAGGAATGCTTTGGTGATGTATTTAACTGTTCTCTTTCATTCTCCCGTGCCTTCAGTTAAAGGTGACCTTTAAAAGTCGGGATTTCCTGCAGTGAACGTTAGCCTTCACCGCAGCAGCAGTTTGATAACGACATTATCAAACTGCTGCAGCGTCGAGCCGACCTCGTGACCTGCTGACGTGCACCAACTTTATGAAGTGGAGCTCAGGCCTGGAGTCACGTCAGCGTCCGTGTGACAGTCAGGACTGTGTCCTCGTTAAACGTTACGTAACGTCCTCTTATCACGGTCCAGTTTCCACTTGTTTCTGGAGACACACCCCAGCATCCGATGTCCCGTCCGACTTTTTTTCCCCCCACTCTTATATAATGACACACACTGATTGAACCCCTGAAGGTACTTGAACTCACCGTCTGTAGCTGCGTCTTCCTTCTGCTGCCTGTTGGACTGATCTAACTCAACAACAACAGAATGTTCTGACATTT